TTTTTTTTTTTTTTTTTTTTTTTAGAAAAAACGTCATCGTCGTCGTCGTCGTCGTCGTCTTCTTCTTCTTCTTTGTTAATCATCTCTAACGACGCCATTTAGGAGCCTTGATTTCCGAGTTCTAGCCATTGCGATGCGGATCCCTCTGGATTTTCAGAGTTCTCATCCAACGGCTCAGCTTTAATCTCCGACCCGGTCTCACATTCTTCCAACTGCACGTGATTCGGCCCCATCATTTCTTCATCTTCTTCCTCTCTTCTCACGCGCTTCACTCCAATAGAAACTCCGAACAGCTTCGGCGTCCTTCCCTCCGCCACGGCCTCCTCCACCTTCAGTCTCACTTCCTGAATCCCGTCGCTGACGGCGCCTTCGTCATCCATCATCTGCCTTGCTGGCAAGAGCTCTAGCGCCTTCCCGTCCCGGACACTCACCGACTCCAACTGCTGGTGACCTGAAGCGTAATTCGTCATCAACGATAGTATGTTGTTGCAGAGCCCTTTCAGCTGAGTCAACTCGTGACTCAGTTGCATATTCTCCTTCCTCAGCCGCTCGTTCTCTCTCACCAGTTCTGGCGTAGTGCAGCAGCTCGTAACTCGCTGGAATTCCATCGGCGATGAGTTCGAGGATGTCACCTGCTCTTCCGCAGAATTCACCGGCGATATCACGCACGCCGCCACAGCCGGAGACGCTGCGACTGTCACCAGTGGTACAGAGACGGAGGCCGGGGTCGCCGGAGCCGCCACCGACACTGCTACCTTCCGCCGCTGGATGTCTCGGAGAAGTGCTTTTTCACCTCTCTTGAAACAATCGTTCGCAAATTCCCATCGATCCGGCACAACCTTCCGGAATCCCTGCGCGGTAGTTACGAAAAAATAAAATTAAAAACAAAATTCCGGAATTAAAGATATATATGACGAAAAGTACTCAAAAACAGAACCATCATCCGTTTTCCAAGAAAAATAGTGAATCCAAAAAGAAAATAAAGCGGATTCGAAATTTGGCGAACAGTCGAAAGATGCAGAAACTTACGTAAGTGTTAAGTTGACGGACGAAACTGGAAAAGTTATTGTGTTTAAAGTATTTAGGAAGTAAATCTCGAGCGAATTCAGCAGGTCGCCAGACTATGAAGGTAGATCCATCTTCGTTCCACGAGATGAGGTCGTCGACATCCGGATCATCAACGAGTTGATACGTTTTTGTTAGAAACGGCGTCGGAATAGATCTCTGAGAATCTCCGGTTCCAGAATCGCCTATCGGCTCCGCAGGCGACGGAGCCATCACCGCTTCTTCCAGATCTGAACCGTAGGAATCTACCAAATCATAAAACGGAACGATTTCGCCTTAATCTCACACACAAAGAATTGGAGTTCTAATGAAACATACAAATACACGTCAAAAGAGAGCAATAGAAGATCGAATTGGAAGCTATTCTTTTACCAGACGAGATTCTCCCCTCGAACCAAACAGCAAAAGAAGAAACCGGGAGCGGAATCGGAATCGGAGGAGTGAAGAAGACCACCGCGCCTAAGAATGACCTCCGCCACTGCAACGTCAGAAGCTCAGCAAAGCCGCCGCGTAGAGAGAGAGAGAGGTTTTGTTGTTTCTAGAAGTTTCTGGGTAAGGAGAGTAAATGAAAAGGAAGAGAGGGGGAAGAAAAAAAGGAAAACGTGGTTTCCAGAAGGAAATAGGAAAATGTTTTTTTAAAAAAAGGAGAAAAAAAAGAGAGTGGGGTCCACAATAGATGAGACATTATAGAGAGAGAGAGAGAGAGAGAGAGAGAGAGAGAGGATAGGAAAGCACCAGAAGGATTGAAGTTAGGAAGCGTGCGTGTCTCTTTATCCCTCGTGGATTTTATTTTATTTTATCTTTTTTAACGTCTTCTTCTAAGTTCTTCAAATCTTCTCCAGAAGCTTCCCTTCCTTCTTTCCTTTTTTGCCCTTCCCCCCTTTGGGCCGTTTTTGTGGATTGGGGAAGCCCAAATTCTGGCCCAACTATTTTTTCTTTTCATAATACTCTTTGTTACAATTATATGAAAATAGTTAAAATAGTTCTTTCAAAGCATGCGTTGTTTTCAGGGTTGCTATTGGTAGCCCCATGGATTCCTCCTGCTTGCCCACTTCCGTCCAATTCACCTCCTTCTCCGCTCTCCCTGGTCTTATAACAGCCCAACCCTATCACCAATAAATATTGTTCTCTTTAGACTTTTCGACTTTCCATTTCAGATTTTCGCTTCTAAAATGAGTCTATTAGAAAGAAGTTTACCCCCTAAAGAATACGTAGTTTAGAGCCGACCAAGCCTCCAACACGATCAACAGCTTCGATTACCGAATTATCGAGGTTGTTGATAATTGAAAGCTTAACCCTTATTTAAGAAGCTGAATAACAGTGTGGCTTGGATCTTTTTTTGGGTTAAAGGGCAAGAAAAGAGCAAGCTTTGTAGTAATGGAAAGATCTCCAAAATCTGTCTCTTTACACTCTGCTTCGTCCTCTTTCCCAGTTCCTTCTTGTTGGCGCGCTATTTAACGTAGATGTTTGTCGAAGATCTTCCAAACGCTCTCACGATACGCGTGTACCTCACTCAAGCTTTAAGATCTTTTGATTTCCAAATCATCAGATTTTAAAATTTTAATTTTTTTTTTTTATTTTATTTTCTACAAAATTGTTGGAGATATTGAACTAATAATATATTTTTTTTCCTAACGACCTATTTAAGTGGAAGATTTAATTTGTTTCCTAAAAAATTAAATTTGTACCATTTTTGTACAATTTTATTTCTTTATTAACGCACCCTTTGAATATTTGATAGTATCATTTAAAAATCTCAGCTCCACCATTAAGGGATTTTTTTTTTTTTTTTTTTTATGAAAATATTAAAAATATCAATTTGAAACTAATTTATATTCATATATGGCTATATGTTGAACTAACCATTATATTAGAAACAATATTTAGAAAAAGATTAAAAATTAAATCATATACTCAATCATCAATACTTTAATAAATTTAGTAACAATTTAGTCCATATACTTTTAATTTTCTTTGGTTATAATAAATTGTTATAAAATCAAATTTTAATCACTAAATTGTTAAAATAAAGAATACCTAGAAATAAGATAGCTGAAAATAAAAGATTATTGTATTTTAATAAAAACCCTTTTGGGGATTTGGTGAAATTTGGAGGTCTAATTGGAATTTTTATTTATAGGTTTTTTTTTTTTTTTTTTTTTTTTTAAATTTGGTCCCTCTTATTTAAAAAGTTGCAGATTAGGCCTTTGGTTTAATTATTTTTCAAAAAAGTGATACCGCACCACACGACGGGGTCTAATTTCTCGGCTTTAATGGCGGAGCACTGTTCGGCTCGGTTCATCTCGCCGAATGCTTTCGACCATTATCTCTATATATAATCGAACAAATAATTGTTTTAAAGATCCCAAATCCTCTGAAAAGGATCGAGATCCAAGGAGAAGTGGGGGATCGAGACTTTTCATTTCCACCTTAATTCCTTCCCCTTTTTCATCATCCGCGAAAATGCCCGCCGGAACTCTTGAAGTTCTTCTTATTTCCGCCAAGGGGCTTGAGAACACCGATTTCCTCTGTAAGTTCCCGCTCCCAATCTTGTTTCATTTTCTGGTCTCTATTTCGCGATCTTTTATCAGCATGTGTCGAAGATTCCGATTCTGATTTTACTTATAGTATCTGAGAACTTGACGGAAATGAATTTCGTAGAGGAATAAGTTCATAGGGTTGTGTTAGTGTTTGGTTTTGATCATTGATACATTGAGTTTGTTGCGACCCTGAGTGAAACTGATCTGCACGAGAAAGCGTTGAGGAGGTGAATTTAGTGGGTCAGCTTCGTAAATAATGAGACAACACAACACAACAAGAGTCGTTTTATGGGGCTTCGTATTGGGTACTGGTTTTTGTACAGAGTTTTTTAATGCTTTGGTGGATATTTCTGGATATGTGGATCCTATACTCATCTGATTCTTCTAGTTTTGCGTGTAAGAGGGGGCACTGTTGGCAGATCTCTGTGAAGTTTTTATTTGCTGAAGTTCATTTCAGAATAAATGGGTTTTCCAATTAGTTAATGTAGATGAACTGCTGTGATTTGGGGAATTCATTTGGTGAAAGTTTTATTGTTACCTTAATTACAATTATTTGTTTAAAATTGATTTTACCTGGCTGTCAACTTGAATATAACTTAACAAGCATCAATTCATTCTCCCTCCTTGAACTCTAGAACTCTTTCATCATACCATACTTTTTTTCCACTAATAAAAAATGTAGGTATATTTTATTAAAAAAATTAAAGATAATCTTGTCTTAACAAGGTTTTGATGCATTTGTGCAGGTGACATGGATCCTTATGTTGTTCTTACTTGCCGCTCACAGGAGCAGAAAAGCAGTGTTGCGTCGGGTTGGTTTATGTTCTATATAATCCTCAAATCTCTACCATCTCCTATTTTAAAAAACTTGGAAGTGTTTTTACCATCAGAATTGTTTATTGACTGCATACAGGAAAGGGGTCCGAGCCTGAATGGAATGAGACTTTTGTATTCACCATATCTGATGGCGCTGAAGAGATCACCCTGAAGATACTGGACAGTGATAGTGGCACGCAAGATGACTTTGTGGGCGAAGTAACGTAAGTAAAAATGACTCTTAATTCTATTAGGAACAACCAACCTCTACACTGGTAACAAATTCTTCCTCATAATCAAAGCGTGGCTTTAATTGAAAAGGAAGTGGATTTTTGAGCTTGGTATGAATGGTGATCTTTCTGATCTGCTTGGTACAGTCTTTCTATAGGCTAAAGCGAAAAACTAGCTTAGATCATGGGGTATATTTTGTTCTATGAGGACTGTTTGATAATGAAAACACAAGCCTGTTCAAATGCCCTGTATATTATTTGCAGCATTCCTCTGGAACCTGTTTACCTTGAAAAAACCCTCCCTGCAACACCATATAACGTTGTCAAGGATGCAGAATACCGCGGAGAGATCCGAGTTGGCCTTACTTTCGCTCCTGAGGTTGCTCTCCTTCTTTACTTCCGTCTATGTTGTAGAATTATCAGATAAAATTTCAACTTCTTGGCTTGTCTATTAGGGTAACTCGTAAGCATTTGCTATGTTAATTTTGCTATTAACACTTCGATTCTCTGCCTGCAGGAGAGAACTGCAACAGATTTTCAAGGGGAAGACGAAGCTTATGGTGGATGGAAGCAATCCGCAGATGCAGAATGAGATCCACCGCTACTCCATGATTGCTAATTGTATGTTTGAGGGATTTCGAATCCAATGTGTTCAGAGATCATCAGATCTTTGTTGTGTCTGAATTTCCTACATGTTGTTTGTCATCAGTTTTTCTGAGTGAATATTTAAACCTCTAAATTCTCAATCTACATAATATACTTTAACCAATTAAGCTAAACTCGAGTTTGGCGTGTTATCGTCGTTGGTTAAGAATAAAGTTGGTTTCGTTGTAATGAACTCTCGTTATATTCTTCAGCTAATCAGAAATTTCTCAAGGAATATCAACAATGCATCAAATATTAGATAATAACTCATCAAACATTCATGTATGTGTTTTTGTTTTGGATATTTTACTAAATTAATCACATCCAAACAATTCGATTCTAGTGTTAGTTGTTTCAGTAAAAAAATTAGGAATTTGTTTTCTTCTATTTCTGGCAAAGGGTACAGAGTGGTTCGAGTTTGACGTGGGAGTTACTGAATTTGAAATGCCAGATTGGAGCATCCATTATAATACAGATTTGCTAAAAAGAAGAAAAGAGCAATGAGCCGTTCTTCTCAAGACCTGACCTGTGCTGTTATTACATCCAAAAGCTACACTTTCCTCAAAAACTTCAACTTCCCTTGAAAGGTCTGTTTCTATCTACGCGAGGCTGCTGTTGAGAAGTGAACCCACTGCAGCTTGGTAGATTCACATTCCCCAGTAGAGGATCTAAACTCAAGTGCTGTACTGAACCAGATTTTTCGGGTCCATCAAAGTGGGACGATATATCGTTTTGGAAGAAGTTCGGGGATCCATAATCTGGAAGCGCTATGCTACTCTCTCTTTGGCTGCGAGAGGACTCGATTCGCTCCTCAAAGTAGCTTTGAATTTCCAGACTACCTTCTATTGGTATTGCACCCGTGAGAGTCTTGAATGCAAAATCCAAGCACGGGTCTGCCCAGGAATCTCCAAATGGAAAGGATATTGGAGTTTCTGAGGTTGTGTCTTTCGTTTGATGCTTTTGATTCTGATCATCGAGCGCCATTTTGTTGCTCTCGTGACATGTATTGATCCTATCCGGTGGAGGGTGATGCAGCTCTCTGGGTGGAAACTTTTGGCAAGATGTTTTACACTGTACATTCTGTGGTTCTCCAAGAATTCCACCGTCTGATAAATTGAAAGCTAGAACAGCTTCATTTGAACGATCGTTTGCTTGTTGAAAGGATATTATATTTGATGCCAATTCAGGTTTGAGCCCATTAACACTTGAAGATTGACGATTTGAAGTGAACTCTTTCTTGTTCTTGAATTTTTTGTTCTCTTGAGTTCTCTTATCCATGCAGCTCCCCGACCCATTTTTGACTGATTTCTGCCCTTGCAGGAAATCAATTGTAGGATCAGAAACTAGCCCATCGGTGGTGGTTGCGTTCTCCACTGGCAATGCGCCTGTAAGGGTCTTGATTGCAAATTCCAGAC